GTAAGAGTGGTGGTGAAAATCCCTTTGTCCAGGGTTGGACACACACACACACACACGAGCGCACAATTACGTGTTTGGTCCTTGCAAATTAGCCCTCCAAAAGATTGAAAGAATTCGTGGCCCAACATTTTGGTCTAGTGCATACCATGAAGGCTGAGGGCTGTGCATGTGTAAACTACTGACACGTTTGATCCCGAAATCTCCAGTTCAGACGTCAGTTCCAACCTTTTTGTGGCATGTCATGTCCTACTGTTAACAGTAGGATAGGTCAGCGAAGCTGTTTTTGGGGGGCCATTCGGGGGTACCAAAAACCTGGACACAATCGCACGTCAAGGACCTCGTGGCCCATGTCCACCCATGGCCAGCATGACGGTCTTGTTTTTGCTTCCTGCCAGAAAGACACAGACTATTAAACACATGCAGGAATAAACAGGAGACACGCAGTCTTTTAGTCATCAACATTGAGTCTCCAGATCATATTGCGTTATACTTTTGACAATTTTTGATCATCCTCCAATCCTTTTTAAAGCATATTAAAGCCTATAGCCACTATTGTGATATTATTGATATATGGCTTTAAACAGATTCGATCACTCCCAAGAGTCACCCACCTAGCAGTGCCGCCTTACCTCACAGCCTCTTCCACCGGTGACATGGCACCGCCCTCAGGACTCTACCTCACGGGTCCCTTCAATAACTTCATCCTGCGCCTTGGAAGACCGTCAGGCAGTGCTGCGGAACTGCTTGTTGGACAATTTGTTTCTAACGACCAAAGCCCCACTATTGTCATAATATGTTGTGCATGACAATGCTTGAAGTGGAGTTCCTTTCCACATGATTCGTCCGTCAACAGATGGCATGTTGATTCAAACCGCGTTTGACCGCAGTAAATCCTGCACCCTTGCGGATCTCTTCACGAAGATTCTGACCAACACTGGGAGGACACTGATACCCACTGAACAGCCCTTCTTCCAGGTTGAACACCTTTATTTGTTGGCCAGTTGGGTACAGAATCAGGTGTACCCTGGTTTGCAGAATGTCTTAAGTGATTTAACGTGAGATCTTTCAAGCAATGGGGGATCCAACAACTCGATCCCCTGATCAGAATCGACCCCAATTGATCTGCTGGTGATTTCTTCCCTTCAACCTAGGACTGGCAGGAAAGAATGGTTGACCTGCGGAGGTCACCTTTGGGAGCGGTTTTCCAAGCATGCTCTATGTTAACTGAGGAGGTCAGTTCATCCATGATTCAAGGATTGAAGTGAAAGTGATTGAAGGTGGGTTGTCCCCTGCAATGCCCGTGGACGATTGTCCCCCTGCAATGTGCTGAACTTTAAAGATGGTGCAGGTGGAACGTTGGGAGGTGTTTGTTTGAATTGGGACGATCTGGGATGGGGGATATAAGCTTTGGCCCTCCTGTGAGTGTTTGATTAGTGCATGAATGGGAGTGTAAGAGCATGTGGTTTTGTTGCAAATCCTTTTGGTAGTCAAATAGGGTTGTAGAGTACCGCCAGTTAACATGTCCTGCGAACACATTGCGGGCAAAAAAACATGCCCTCAGGAAATACAAATCTTTGGACCTTGGGCTCATGTCCTGCGGCAAGGCAAGAACACCCTTGTAAGGTAGACTGTTGATGAATAAACTCCCCGTACCAGAATGGTTTTACATCTTCATGTGTGGGGTTTTAGGAATCATTAGTTTGTGCAATATACTGACTATATGCATTGGAGGTCGAATACCCAAATACCCACCCTCCAACAATCCTTGTAACGGACAATGGCTTGGAAGACACAATTCCTATACCACCAGGATCTATATGTTTCAGATATTTTTTTGAACGGTTTCCCAAAGAAGCCATGCATGACTATTTCAAGAGTCCACGCCCAGAGCACCAGTGGTCGTGTTCTGCCGCACCCCAAACCTGGGGTCTTCGGCTCTGGGATGAACCTCCAAGGTTTCCCTCCGATGCCCGAGATCTCAGCGAACGGATGGGGGGGTTCATTAACCAGTTGTCCGGGCGTTTTGGGTGGTAGGGCCAGGCTGCACAGGGTGCACAGGGCGACGGAATCTCCTTAAGAAAGCTGGTGGGTTTGGGGTTGAGGTTGTGAGTAGAATCATGTATTTAGGTTCATGTATATTGATATATATATATATACACATATATATGTATATATAGAGAGAGATCGATCGTATATAGTTTCTGTGTGGATCATGTGTGGTCCAACTTGTTTTTGTTTGGCACTTATTGGACATGTACTATCTTCGCTGCAAAGGCAACACACGAATCTAACACTTGTTGTTTTCTTGGCCACATGTAGTTCTCAGTGATCGATCCAATATGATTCAATCAGGAATTCTGAATATGTCGTCATCAATGTTGAATCCATGTCAAGTCATTCGAGGCCCAGGCTCATTCTTGCCATGAGTTGGGAACTTATCAAAGTATGTTCCTTCCCACAAAGACGTCAACACTTTGGCGGGTTTGCATCCCAGATCTTGCACAGAAAGCTCCGTTCGTTTGGGTGAACATCACGCAAGCTCTTCAATTTCGTGGGTGCGGCCACAGAGCCAGCTTGGAACCATAACGAACCATTCATTTCCAGGTCAAACAGCGAGAACTGGAAAGTCTCAACTCCTCTCACCACTGGTCGAGGCTGGAGAATCCAAAATCTGGCATGAAATTGCCCGAAAACAAAAAGCTTGTGGATACCGATGAAGCATGGACAATCGACCCTATCATCGCAGTTGAGCAGCCTCTCCAGATTTGGCCCGAGGAGACAGCCGTCCAGGGCTGCATAAACTCACAATGAAAAGGGTGCGCCGTACGCTTCGGAGCACAGCAAACGCCAAAGTTGCAGCTCCACTTGGCTCTCCGGTTTATTTATGTCAGGTAGAACGCTGTGATCGATGCGGGCCAGATGAAGAACCCATACAACTCTCGAGTAGCTGGTAGGACAGAGTTCGTATATTCGTGCCACCCAGAATCTAGGGAAATGAATTGAATCATTTTGGATCCAGGTACTGTTTGTCCAAACCAACCACTCAAAGGATACCTAGCCGATCCTAACCGTCAAGCATGTTCATGAAATATTTTCATTTGCCACACCACTTAGATGGAGCTGGTTACGTAGCTCTAGTGATCTCTAGGTTGATGTACGACAGGTCTCCATCAGACCCTCTGGATCCAACGACATCCTCACGGCATGCGGTTCGTGGCTCTACCACTCGTCTACTGCTTGTCACTAGTTTTGACCTTCATCATAGTTCATGAGATTTCATATTAAGTGTGTGGGTTGGGGGACCTCCCTACTATTCCATTACACACCGAATGAGAAAAGAAACCTATGAGCAGAGCACCAGAGCACCACACCCGGACACTTAGCACCTCCAATTCCGCTAAGTCGCCACGGCGCCACGTCGCCCGAGGTGCGCCACATCGAGTTCAGCAACATCGACCGGATCAAAGCCGCAGGGCTCCGGTCGCTCGGATCCACCCGGCTCCGGTCGCTCGGGAACGGATCGCCTGCGTTTCGCTCTGCACCCGTGCGTCGGCCACGGCCGAAAGCGTGTTTGCCGTTGAACGATCTGCCGGAACGGCCGGAAGCGTTCTGCACCTTCGAAAGAGGCGTTTTCCTTTTTTTTGAACGGAGGATTGACATGCTGAGGAATTTTGTTGTGTTTTTTGTGCGGCTGTTTTCGTCCGCTTCGGAAGACATCGTATGTCTGGTTTAAGGATTCCAATGCCACTGTAAGATGGTGAAGCCTCTTCGAAACACTCTGATTGTTTGTTGGGGGGTTTCTTTTTGTGCCCTGGTAAAAGTTGATCATTTTGTTACTTTTGGGGGGGATTGATTGATTGGGGACCCCCACGAGAATCCAACATGTGGAAAAAGGTTGATTTTCCAGGGAAACTGAGGGGTCATTATGGATATTAATGGATATGGCTATTATGGTTAATTGGATACTATGTAATGGAATCTAATTGATATTCGGGATCAAGGTGATTGAAACCTTTCATTTATTGAAGCTTACTGTTCAGCGCTTGCATTTGAATTTGAGAAGCAGAGTGGGATTTTCAACAGTTTCATTGGCGTCATAATCTGTGGGGCTGGAGATGGTGTCACACATCGTTACTCACCCTAAATCAAAATGTCCTCTTGGGTAGCGCATGATAGCAACTGTTTTAATCTTAGCCAAAAGACATTATAATATATATATATGTGTATGTATATAATATATACTGTATATATTAGGTTGATGGATGTTGATGGCTATGTCAAGTCTTTACAGTATGACAGTATCGTACAATTCCATGGAATGCTCCCGGCCAAATCGCAGCTCCCAGGTATGCACCACTCCACACACGGACGAAAGAGGGATTAGGACTTCACTTGCAGGCGTGGAGTCGCTTGGAGTGTGGACGAAACGCATGCGGAAACGTCTCAGACTGAGCCGGACGTGTTTGGGATCGGTAAATTGACAAACTTAGGAATAAGGGTCGCAATATAGGCCAAAATCAGCGACTCCCTGAAAAACTGAAACGGAGTCATAGCCGCTTGACTGATTCATTTAAGTGACTGGTGCACGAAAGCAAGTACTCTGACGTATACATAGCAACTGGATGAACACCTACACGTGGCGATTTGTAAGTTGAACCTGCGGTGTGAACTTAATCATACTTAATGGGTCCCTCATGCCGTGCTCAGGTGGAATGTTGTCCATCAATAGTACATCGTTATGGACTGCAAAGAAAAATCGGCAATGGTTTGTTAAGGCAAAATAGTTGTCCACGGGCACATGTTCAGAGTCGCTTTGGAGGAGTTGATGGGATTTTCTCCACTGATGATGCATGGTTGACTGTGCCTTGATGGGTGCAAGAGCTGGGCAGAGACGAGTTCGGCGACAGGGGGTGTATCCTCGGACCGTCCAGGACAAGTGAACGCCTTCTTTTTTTCTCAACATGCAGGAAAGTTTACCCTTCCTCAAACAATCATGAACGCTGAGCAGCACCCCCTGTCGAGGAAGATTGGTCTTCCAAGGCCATGCCATCCACGTAACCATGGTTCTTTCAGGGAGTGAAGCTTTAATGTCCTTTTTGTGTCCTCCTTCGATCTTGTACCTCTGCAATTCCTGAAGTACCATGCCCTCCCAAATTCTTTCCGTCATGAGTCGTGGAAGTGTAAGATCTTCTGGAAAGTCCAGGTGTCCTTGCAGTACCGGTTGATCCCCCAGAACTTGTCCGCGCTCTACAGCGAGTTCAACCAGAACTACGAGCAGGCCCTGCTACTGGTCGGGGTGGGAGAAAGAAGGCGGGATGATCGGGGTGCTCCCGTCGGGGTTCTATGAGTTCCGAAGGGTCGCATTGGAACATAGTATATGATATATAATGTGTCTTCATTACTATATATATATATTATGTTATATATATATATATGTGTCTTCAGTGCGCTTTATGTCGTCACCAACTTCACAAGGCGAGGCAATTTCTCCAACACCCAACCATCTGGAGCAAAGCGACCTAAATTCCACTGCCCAAGGAATCATACAACCACCTGGAAGCAAATATTCAACCCGTCCCGCTCCACCACCAATGCAAGTATGTCATTTCATGTGAAACCCTCCACCCAACCAGCAATATGACATCAATACAATTCAATATACCTCCCCACTCCCAACCACCCAATACGCCAATATAACTCAAACCATTCACCCAACCACCCAACGCAACCACTAGCCCCTCTCGGCCTCCGCCTCCGTCGCCCCACCTGGCTCCACCCAAGGTCCACCGTCACCACCTCCGCCGTCGCGACGTCCAGGTCTTCGTGAGCTCCGTGCGGGACGTCCTCATCAAGGCGGCCTCCGAGTACGAGGCCCCTCAACGGCCGCGACAGTTGTTTTTGGTGATAAGAAATCCACATGTTATCCAATTTTGTCGATAGAGTCTAGAATATGTCTTGATCCCAAGTGTTTGAACAAGACATCTGAGGCCAGGTAGACTCTAACGTTGGGTTTCTTAAGCTATAGGGGGTTTGTTCAGGAGAGGGCGATCCTTTGAATGAGGGGTCTTAGCTCTGTTTCAAACCTGTTTTCGAACAGTTTCAATCCCTTTATGGAGCCTGTTTTCTATAGCAGAAACAAACAGCCATAGAACGCTTCGCAGAAATTGCACGTGGTGAAGGATTCGGATCTCATGACATAAGGGCTCTGATGGGTGATTGGGCAGGGTGTGAAGCAGCGTGGTCACGTGTTCTTGACACGGATAGATAGGTGCAGCCTGTCAACTTGGAAGTTGAAGTGTAGATTTGACAAAATAAGATCGGTGAAGGGAGCGTTTAGATTGGATCACGCACCACTGCTGGCGAAGCTATCTTGCTCAAGACTCAAGACGTTTAGGGTCGTCTGCCGGTTTCCTGTTGTGATCTGTTGCGACTCTATCTATCATGGAGCGGTTCGTGGCAGCCAGGTGTGACGCCACCAACTACATGCGTTGGGGCGTGGCGCCAAGGGTTTCCACGCAGCGAGCTCTGAAATGGGAGAACACTATGGAAGGGTTTTGAATGGTTTTGAAATGCTTGTTTGTCATTTGTCAAGTGAAGAATCAAGCTTCCACACATTCTCTTGTCGCTTTTCACGCGCCCAATATAGGTCTCCAGCGAGGAGGACATCGCCCTGCTCGCAGCCGTCCCGGACGGCTTCGAATGGGCGGGAGGCTGTCAGCAAGGAGTTGGAATTCTGGATCCCGGAGCTGGTCATTGGCGAGGTGATCCACCAGTGGCCTGAGTGGGCGGTGCTCACCTCGTCGCTGGCAACGGCGTGGCGGCGCCGAGGGAGACCGCTCAAGTTTGTTCGGAAGTCTTCGTGCTTCCAAAAGCTGCGGCGCCGGCGGTGAGCGCGGTGTAGGTAGGAGGTATTTAAATTATCCCGCCAAGAGCGTGGGAGCGAAGGTGGGCGAGTGAGTCAGTGTGAGTGAGAGTGAAGGTGGGTGAGTGAGTGCGGGTGAGTGAGAGTGAGTGTGAGTGAGAGTGGGAGAGTGAGAGTGGGAGAGTGAGTGAGGGTAGAGTGAGTGAGTGTGAGAGTGAGAGTGAGTGTGAGTGAGAATGAGTGTGGATGAAAGTGAGTGTGAGGGAGGGTGAGTGAGTGCGAGTGTGAGAGTGGGTGTGAGTGTGAATGTGAATGCGAATGTGAGTGAGTGTGAGCATGTGTGAGTGAGTGAGTGAGTGAGGGAGGGAGTGAGTGACTGACTGACTGAGTGAGTGAGTGAGTGAGTGAGTGAGAGTGAGAGTGAGCATCTGAGAGCACAAAGTGCTAAATCTGCACATCACATCAAGCTTCACAAAGCGCTGAACCTGCCACGAAATCTGCGCATCGAGGTTCACACAGTGCTGCGAGGTTCACAAAGTGCTGTGCCTGCCACGAATTCTGCACTTCGAGGTTCACAGAGTGCTGTGCCCACGAACTCTGCGCATCGAGGTTCTCAAAATGCTGCACACGCCACGAAATCTGCGCATCGAGGTTCACCAAGCGCTGTGCCTGCCACGAAGAAATCTGCACTTTGGGGTTCACCAGTGCTGCCCCTGCCACGAAGTCTGCACTTCGAGGTTCACCAAGCGCTGTGCCTGCCACGAAATGCGCACGTCGAGGATCACGAAGTGCTGCACCTGTCACGAAATCTGCGCTTCGAGGTTCACCAAGTGCTGTCCCTGCCACGAAATCTGCGCGTCGAGGTTCGCCAAGTGCTGCGCCTGCCACGAAATCTGCACTGCGAGCTATAGTATAGGTTCACCAAGCGCTGCACCTGCCACGAAATCTGCACTTCCTGCGCCTGCCACGAAATCTGCGCATCAAGAGTCACAGAGTGCTGTGCCTGCCACGAAATCTGCAAACGACTCACATATCCAAAAGTCACGATTCACTGCACCTGTCACGAAATCTGAGCTCCTCGACGAATGCATGATCATGACCAAAGTGCTGCATTTCGAAGTAAAACAGCTCCGATCCCTTGCACCTGTCACGAAAAGTCGACTTTGGACCACCAAAACACGAGGATTCCCTTGCACCTGCCACGAAAAGTGACCACCATTTACCAAAATGCGCGCGGCCACAACGAGAGCGCAGTCGCGACAGGCACACGCTCCAGCTACCCAGACAGATTCTGCGAGCCTGCGCAGTCGAAGTGCACATTGACGATGTCGAGAGGCATGAATGTACTGTAAATAGCAACGAATTAGCCGTTCACTCCCGCACGCTTCAGCGATTTAAGCATCGCTTTTCTACAACTGTAAGAGAACCCCTCAGTGCGCCCACACTGTCAGCCGGCGAATAAAAACAACGACGGGAAGGGCAAACCCAAGAAGCCCCTCGCTTGTCCTCCTGGGTGATCCATAAACCCCGAGACCGGCGAAAGGCAAGCGTGCGGGGACAAAGATCCCCCCGGGAAAGGGCTGCGCAGACTTCGGAACGCATCCGTATAAAAGGCTCGGAACTCGGCGTGCTGATTCATTTTCTAGATCGTTATGCTCACATGTCTCCGAGAGCTTTGTTGCAAGATCATGTGTGTGTGTTATGTGTTTTTGTGGTGGGTCCTTTTCGCTGCATTGCACTTTGAATTGCCTTCTGGTGAACAGTGAATAGGAGATGGTCGAACTTCTCGCAGCAAATCCTCCCAAGTGAGCTAGAAAGCCCTCACGCCCACCTCTTGCAACTGAGACTGAGGCCGGGCTTTGAAAATAGCAGTAAAGCTGTTGGACGGTCAAGCTGCGCAGCCAAACTGTTAACTACCGACAAAATAAGGAGATGCCTGCAGTGCAGCACGAGTATGCCGACAGTCACTTTGGATGCTGAGGCTGTGGCCCCTCAGCCGCAACGCGTGAACGGGAAGAGAGAGAAGCAGAAAGGGCTGAGACACAGAGAGAGAGAGAGAGAGAGCGCACGTTGTATCAGGCATCAGCTAAAAAGATAAAATCTCATCCTTTTTGGAGGTGATAGTTGTGTACCTCTTGGCGCCCAACCCACGAGAACTGACACAACCTGCTCTTTTGCGAGGCCGGGGTTGAAGTTATGCGCGCAAACCGCAAACTGCAGGGAAGCAACGTTGACGTAGCGCCTGTCAGGTCATCTCTGCCGAAGATGAATCTGAGGAAGTGTCTGAGTATTATGAGGAGTGGGAGGAGGCTGGAAGCAAGCTCACATTTTCTGCGTCTTTTTCATCCATGCCGGCGACAGCAGCAGCAGGAACAGGAAGGAAGAGGAAGAGGAGAAGGAATAAGAGCAAGTACGGCTACGTACAGCTTGGTAGTAATCAATTTATCTTATACGGTCTTGTTCCGCCTTATTATTTCCTTTTTCCGAAAATAGAGTCTAAGGTAATTTGCCCTTCCTCAAAACTAGAGTCTAATTTCTTCTTCTATAAAACTTCTTGACACAGTCCCCGACCATGATTCAACCCAGCAGACTCGCATCCAAAAGCGCAAACATGACTGATGATCCTTTTGTATATAATCACCCGACTTACAGTACCCGTGCAACTTCTACATTACCCGTGTAACACCAACGACTAAAGGTTCTAAGTAGTTCTCTGCCAAGGTTGGGATTTCGAGCCAAAAGGTTCTGAGTTACACGTGGGGTCTATGTGTGTGCAGTTGTTCATTTTGATTTGGGCTTTTGGGTTCTAGGTAAGTGTCCGGCAGTATAAATTCGAAGGAACATCTTGCTAGTTCGTATAACATTTCGTCACAAACTCAATCTACAGAAATCGATTGTTCCCCAAACAGTGAGGAGGCAAGATGCGATTGGATCAGCCATGAGAGTCGCTCAGAAGCAGATTCGAGGTCAAAGTTTCCCGTGCCAGGCAGCACAGCTTTGGGAAGAGCGGGACCTCTTTTCGCAAAAGATGTGCCTGGCCCAGACGCTTACCGTGATCGATGGGCGCCGAACGGTTTGACCATCCACCGAGGTTCAAAGACCCAAACTGAGCATGTGTGTGGCAATAGGGCCCCTTCGGGGAGCTCATGTATACGTACAAGATGAGAAAAGGACGGAAGCAAAGACGAGTCCATTCGATTTTCCAAGGGTTGTGGCCCTTGTGGCACTTCCATCACAAAGAGATTCCCAAGGATTGCAAACATCGAAATCCTGGTCCTTGTATGATAAACACATTGCTAGATCAAAGCCATCATCCCCAAAAGGCGCAGCCAATACACAGTCTTTGGGGCGCTTTCCTGGGCTGCTCCCATTGGCTGCTCCCCGGTACTTTTCATGGGTTAGACATGCATCCTGCAATACGATAGAGAACGCACAAAAACCCTCACAAACCAAGGTGTGTGTGTATGTGCGCGAGTGTGATACCTTGATCTCCTCCAATGGTTCAATTCTGAAGTTGTGCCAGACTTTGAACCCGTCCACAGTCGGACATCGTCACCCTGTGGAAAACCCGAACAAGACTTTAAAACATCTCCGATCTTGGTCTGGCGGCGTTTCCTCGAGTTTTCCACCAGGTGGTGTTGCAAAGGGTGCTCCGGTGTGGACCAAATCTGCCTCAAACACCACCAACCTGGGACTGGCATTTTGACCGATCCATTGGAGTGGTTGATTTCAGGGGTCAATGTAAGTATAGTTCTATACATATATGATTCATGATCATATACCAGGACCCCCTAAGCGGTGGTTAATAGATACCCCTGAACCATGCTGAACCTCTATTATTAGGCACCGCTTAGGGGGCACTGGTATATAATACATGCAGTGTTCGGGATAGGGTTTGACCCCCTTCCCAACTCAACGTATCACTCAAGTTGATTTGGTGAGATCTGAGTGCGCAAAGTCAAAGGAGCGGGAGACATTCATCGAACTGGAACTGGGAGGCCCCTGGAAGACCATGTTTCTCTACAAGCAGGTGGTAAACTCCACTTCCATGTCAATGACTTGGAGAGCAATCGCAACCACAACTATCCTAAAGAAAGGTTTCTCGATGTTTGGTTAAGACATGTCAGGACCTGGTGGGATATCGACCCAGAGACATTCAGAGACATGTAGAATCACACAGTACGGTACATCATTCACTCCTTCAAAGCGAGTTCCTTGTGCGAATTCCTTTCAGTTCCAAACATCACTCAGGCAGCAAATGGTTGACTCAGAGCTCAGGCAGCAAATGGTTTGGAGTCGATTTCTCAAGTTTGGTGGGTGCAAAACTTGAGCAAAGCCATGAAATTCTGGATGGTGATGAAATCTTCCTGCGTCCCCCACGCCAAGCGGTGCAGGATCGTTTCTGCATCAACAAGACGCTGCAGTAACATACTGCATGTGAACAACCTACTGTAGCACGGCCCAGCATGGCTGTATTTATTCTTAGAAAGTTCCGATAGCATTGATTGGCCAGAAACTGGCTGATTTGGGGGGGCAACTCTTAAGAGAGTGTTCATCCAATTTCAACCCTCAGCATTCACAGATCGGCAGAGGGCTCTATTCATTTGTTCAGTCCACATGATTCCGACCTTTGGAGATCACCGATCCACCGGAGAAGACCGTTCCTTCGTTCGGAGTTCACGGAGTAGCCGGTGCTTTGAGCCAAGGGTCACAGATCAAACGATGGAATACAGCTAGTCTAGTTGACCGCTTTTCGGGCTTCGCAAAGAGAATCGGATAGAATCGGATAGATGTTCCTTTTTGTTGTTTTTGTTTTTTGTAATGTGTCTTTTCTTTGAGATCAGCTTGTTTTCTTCGATCATGTTTCGGATTGATCCGTTTGTTTCGCGAAACGTCTTTCCTCAGATCCCCCCGGACCGAAGGGGTTTGCACCCCCGCAGGAAGACCTACGCTGAGTGCTGGGGCCCGTCAGGTGTCCCAGTTCCAGGACCGGTCGAGCAGATGAGCTTCATAAGCTACGTTTGGGGTGTAGAACTGTATGGTTTCAGGGGTCAATATGCTATATACTAGGTAGTAGGTAATATATATTTATGCTTTCAGGGGTCAATATAGGTGAATATATTGTAAACTTTGCTAGTATTTTTCCAGTACATGGAGTGTTTGGACGTTGTCTCGTCCTTGATCGACTTTCATGTTATGTCCGGGAATTCAAAGTTTCCTTGACACTGAAAAATCATAGGGGACTTGCTACTGAAATACGAAACCAATAAACTTCTACATAAACACACTATTAACATCCATTGACGCCCAAGGTTGGTGTTGGACCCTTAGTCTTTAGATCAATCATTGGTGTGAAACCACAAACTCTTGGATGCACCAGAACTGCAGATTATTTTGGTCTGAACAGACTGGCCAAATGACACACGCCACATCCGGCCACCGAGACAGTGCCGTCCCATCCGGACACCTACTCGGTGATCCAAGACGGAGGGATTAAAGAAAAAGTGATCCAAGTCCAAGACACGAAAAACAAAAATTGAGCAGCACTGTAGATTGAGTGATTTTTGGATGCCAAGAGGTTGTTCAACACTCAATTGAAGCTCTTGAAGTTCCCACTGGGAGCTGAGCTGCAAAAAAGCGTTGTGGCTCCCAAAGATCTCAAGGCTTGCTGGTCCAGAAGCAAACTGGGACAACATGGAAGAATTGGAAGACTGCACTACACTCACAAAATATACAAACATACATCTAAAATATAATATTATATAATCACATATATATACACATACACATCTGGGTTATATGGTTCAGACAGTATGAGTTGTTATCTTTGGTTGGGGATCCAGTGGTTGCAATTGCAACAGTCTTTTATTGCTTTTTAGGAATCATCGCAAAACTCCCTGCTGATGACAAAGCTCACCCAACAATTCTTTGTCTAGGTTTGATAGCCGACGGCCAACTCGAATCCAATTTAGATGATTCACATGGGCTGGAAAGCTGAACCTGTACATTCCTGTGACCTTCAACTGACCAGTGGCCTTGGCCTGTTTTTTCTCAGGCAGCTGATGATCATCGATCTTCCAGATGGCTTTGAGCATAGCATTGTGCAGACCCAGGCCGGCCTGGATCACAGTGGCCGATACGTTGTTTCCATCAATGTGATGCAAAAGCCCAAGATGAAGAGATGATAAGCATCCCAAGCCGGGTGGTGAATGTATCGATCGCATGGTCAAATCGATCACATTCTTTGCTACTGGTTGGGTGTATTTTGCTGGTTCGAGTGTGAGGAAACCCACATACAGACACACCAGCGACATGAAATGTGGTATGGAACACCTGTGAACTCTGCCTAGACCTGTTATGATCGAAGCCGAAGGTTCCATTGCCAAAGCTTCCATGGCGGACTGGCCTATTTGCCTAAGTTGGGGTTCACTCCATGTGGTCCGTGCAGCATATTCTGACGCAAGGAACTGATTGACCATCTTAGATGGAAAAACATATGGACCGAGGCATCCACTGGCCCCCTCTAATCGGGCCACTGGATGCCTCGGAAGTTCTGGGATTCTGGTGATTTAAATGTCGCCTCTTCATTGCATGTCATTACGGAAAAAAAACGGGCCTGGAGATGTTTGATCATCTAGGTAGATGCGTTTGGTTCTTCTTTTAAGTCACCACTCAACATGCTAATATATATGTTGATCCATTTTGGACTGGCCCAGGCCAGGAGCTCCCGGTGACCCTTCAGCTCAACCGCATACGTTGATTTCGGGGTCAGCCACAAGCAGAGGTGCAGAAGCAGATGATGTTCATCAGGCACTCTGGGGGCGTTCGGTCAGTCACCCTCTTCTTGTTCGTCAGTGGAGAGCCGGAGTGTTGCAAGGTGATCACTTGGGAAGTGCTGCGACCCTGGAGTACTGCTGGTCTTCATCGACTCGCAAATCAAAGTAGCCTCAAATGGGCTGGATCTTGGCAAGATCCGAAAGAAAGACACAAAACTTGAATTCTCCTCTACTATCCAAAGATGAGCTGGGGTTGGTTATGGTGAAAAGAACTAACTTCTGGAGCTATGAACCTCCTTTTTCTGGCGGCCAAGCCAGCAAAGACGGAGACCCAAGTTCGGACTTTCTGATGCATTTGGTCGGGACTTCTGGGACTTCCTTCAACATGTGCCAGCGATTCACTGTATCCAACAGTTGGACTTAATGTTACTGTTGCTCTTCACGCTACTAGTAACAAGGACATTTGTAGCTAGAAGCTAGAATTACTAGTCAGTTCATCTCGATGGTTCACCCTCTCATCGTCACTCGCATCTGCCCGACTCGTCTCGGATTTCATCACTCCTAGGGAACAGCAGCAAGTCTCGACAAAGATTCGAGCAGAAACCTCTGTGATCAAGGCGCGGGGCCCCGCGACGACTTCCTGGTTTTGCTTAAGGTGATGTGTTGTGTTTAAACAAAGACCAATGGAATCCCCTTCTGGAGAATATGGTTGTTGTTTTTTCCGGGTTCCTTAAGCAAGTCCCGTTTCCGGGATTCCAACCACCACTGATTCTATGGGCTTTGGTGTTATACTGAATAACCACGGTTATACAAATGAGTTTAGACTACAAAAACCAGCTCAAAACTATTAAATTGTTTAACTTGTCTTGGATGGCTAGGGCAGTGTTTGATGATGTTTGATGTGTTCATGGCTTGGTCAGGTTATTTATTTGAAGGAAGCAGCTCCAAACATACACTGTGTATAAATGCAAATCAAACAGCGAGTAGATCTCTACACAGGGTGATATACATGTCAACTGTGGTTGTGTACATGTCACCGGCTGTTTGCTGGGTTAGTGGGTTTCAATCGAACCGAACCAGTGATTTCTGTGGGTGATTTGTGAGGTTCGAACTGCTTCGCTGCTTCGTTGTCCACCTGTATGGCTTTCTTCCTAACCAGCAGGACTCATCCAGAAAGACGTGGTCGTCATGGTCGTTCGGCAGGATTCAAAGTCAAGGACTCCACTGGCTGTCGCAAGTTGCGGCGCCTACCTTACGTTGGGCAGCTTTTGATCTCCAAGACTCTGCTTGGCTTGAGCACCCAAACATGACTTGCAGATCGAGCCAGAAGTCGTCACGTTGGGCCCAGCCATGCCCACATGTCGTTCGTTAGACCCCCACGGCCCAACCGATCACGACGGGGAACCGGTTGGGGCCCACGGCCTGACTCCACCGGTCCATTCCAGGCCGAGTACGACCGTCGAGTCAAGGCCAGATCGGAGAGAGCGATGTTGACGTGGATCCATTATATTATATATTATATATATGGGTGTCCTTAGAATAGGGAGACCTTCCAGTTCGACCTCTTGGAAGGTTCGGACAATAAACCACTCTACTATCCAGGAAGAATCACCCCACCAAAGATTTCTTCCCCCGACCCTGTAGTTTGGTCATGGGAGAGAAAACTCCTGCTTGGTAGAGGAAGTGTTCGTCTTACAATGCCTCTGTAACTTGGTGAAATATTAGTGGTTCTTCCTTTATTGAGATCCTAAGATCCTAGGTCCTGAATAACATGTTCTATCCTGTACAATTGGATGGAAGTCTTGACCCTCATGCAGATGCACATGTAATGTATGTCAATTCCAGCCATTCCCCAACCCAAGATCATGTTGTTTGTGATCTCATATGATCTGGACCACCCCCTGGGATGCACAATGGCTGCAGCCATTTAACCAAGATCTACCTTACCACAGAGCCATGGCAGGAAGACAGTACATGCGGCCGTTTTGCGGTCAATCATCTTCAATCAAAATCCTCGCGCAAAGCAGCGCCTAATTTGCAGCCGCACCTTGTGCCAAACAGATGCCTTCAGATGCCATAGCAAAAACATGCAAAAGGACAACGCTTTGGGAGGGTGATGGACGTCTAAGCGCCGTTTGTTCGGTAGAGTGCCACAGAAGGTTCATCTCGGGCGCTTAGATTAGGAGACCAACATGTATTTCAAGATCCAGACCCTTTGAGAACTGAAGAAGAAGTGCTAAGGATTTAACTCACATACATGATATTGGGCCTTACCAGTATAGCATCAACTGCTACATATGCTGCTTGACCATGAACATATTCTTCTTGTCCATGTCTCCAAGCGAAGCGGCAAAATACCACGCGAATATCCACGTGGTGAAGATGATTGTCGCCTGGAGTGCATGGCCGCTCTACAAACAGGGGCTTTCTTCTGTCATGGAACACGGGAACATGGGTTAGGTTTTGTCCTGTTCGGTGGTTGATATGTATTGAGCGAGTAGGAGGGAGATCCCTGTATTTTCCTGTAGGCTGTATGATAGGAAAACCATCAACCATACCAAGCTTTTGCCAGGAGTTGTGAGGTGTGCAGTAGGTCCGGAGTAAACGCAAGTCCCCCAGCATTTGCTTTACATATATTCCCATCCAGCATGGTTTGCGGTACAGCAGGGGTTTGTGACATGTACTCAGGACAGTGACTCGAAATGAGAAGGTTCCCTTGAACTTGCTTGGAGGTTTGTAGGTGGTGTGAATGATGAACAACAGAAGTTGCGGAGATGAACTGCCACCATACAGGACTTGGGCACTTAGATAGTTCCAACAGAAATATGGTGAACAGAAGTGTGTTGACACACATTGAAGCTAGTGTTGAAACTCTATGTTAGAGTAAACACTTATGACTCTATATATAGATCGATCATCTACTGTAATTATATTGGCGATCCCACTTCGTGGTCGATACCTCATTTCAGAGTCTGAGTCACACTGAAACCACCAAAGACGAAGCCGAACTCGGACGAGTTCGGAGTTCTCGGTACGAGGGCCATGTAGTGCCGTCACATGCGAAGAACCCTCCAGCCCTCCCGCAATCGAAAAACCGGGGGATTCCCTTGCAATAAACAAAACAGAGTGGACCGTTTGGTACATGAAGCTGACGTTTGTATCAGATCTCCCATTAGACACCCACGAACGATACTCCTGGAAATCAACCACTTCGACCTGTTTTGGTTGGAACAAGAGTGAAAACGAGTGCAACGAGCAATTACTTAGACAGCTTCACGGTTTTTGTAAAAAAGGATGCGTGTCCTTCCGGAGGTCGAATCGCCAGAAGGGCCGCCTGAAAGGCACCCCCCGGCCGGCCAACAGCGAGGTTGAGACTGCCCAACTATTGTGCAATGTGCATCATCGTGCTCGAGAGGCCTCCAGCTGCGATCCGCCCTACTTCACCCCGAGGCCTTCAACGGACACAAGCTGCTTATGACCCTACTAGTATGATGACAAATCGTCCTTCCTCATAGGAACAGTGGTCCCGGTCCTGTTTTTGCAGTGGATTCACCAGACCTTGAAGTATTTGGAAATAGATACAACCAAAACAGGGACATGTTGGGTGTGATGCAGGGAGACGAAGAGAACACGAAGACCAACAGTCGAGGAGGTTTGGGGCTGGAAGAGACGTAGACACATCCCATATGTATCAGCATGTCCAACAATAATCAACAATCATGCCCCCCCAATTAGCAAAACAAAGGCGTGCCATGTTTTATGTTGATAAGCAGGAGGGAGTCCATTTCCATGACCGCTGCAGAGGGAAAATGGTACAGCCTGAAAAGCAGCAGCTCCTAACATGTTTTCGATTTAACTGCTTATGCTGGTCAGTTTCTATTTGCGCTCGGTAATTACTAGACACTACTCAGGACTCAACTAATGTCGGAGTCAATTCTAACATTGCTAACAACATGTCTTCAGTTCTATCAATCGACCGAGACTGTCTCGGCAGGCAAATTCCCTACAAGGAGTCTCGGGCTGGGCATCGAAAACTGGGATCCATGTGCCGTGGCTCAATCGATGTGTTTGTTCCAATGCTGAAGCAGTTTTTTGTCATCCTGTGTTTTTTGTTTGGGTATGGATCTCCTTGCGAGAATAGACCAAGTGTGATCTATGTATGTTCATTCGGATAGGGCCTTTTCAGCTATAGGCGTTTCCAACTCTTGCGGTTCAAACCCCACCTACCTCGTCGCGCACTCCGCCAAGACCCAGGATTTGGGTCGCAGAGTCTTTGGGCAACTACCGCTGGGCGCTTCGCTTGGGCCTCGCCCTGTGCCGGGAGTACCGCCTGGGCCGCGGGCGTAGCAAGAAGAAGCCCCAGGCAACACACGCCTCTGAGGAGGTGCTGAGGTGGTTGAAGGTGCATGGGGGAGGGAGATGGGTACCTGGAGGGACCATGAATAGGGATGATCCGGATCATCAAATCCAACAAGCAACTGTGAGACCTCGAAGTATAAGATCAATTAGGCAAGGGATTTGGGATTCCGGATGCAGATCCACAAGTTGTGCGAAGTGACCACTTGCGTGTGATGCCCCATATGTATGACGGGGGTTGGCAGTTGCTTAGTTGCATGTGGGAATTCAGGATGCCAGTGCAGGGTGCACGAATGATGGGACGTTGCTCATCAATGTTCCAGACTGCAGGCATTTGCTACCCTGAATGAAGCGGTTCCATGGGAAAGCCACCCAAGTAGCTCGTACACGTCTGGTAACACCAGCATCACATGCCCTCGGACACGTCTGGTAAGTTGCATCGGAATATGTGCCCGCGAATGGGGTTGGTGGCCGGCCTCTCCCTCCCTCTCTCTCTCTCACTCTCACGGGGCATGTGATGTGGTCCAAGACTTTTGTGTTTTCACATTCACTGGGTAATTGATGGACACATTAAAGACATTGAATTGATGGATCAAACAATGACAGCTCTTGAGGGTGTTTTGGAGACCCTCACCACCTCCCACACCGAAAGCACCCCACATCCACGGTCACGGTCACGCACTCGCCGCAGCAGAGGAGCACGAGCCCAACTTCCGCAGAACACGGCGGACGAAGGTGGCCCAGCATCATCTAGCAATGCCAGAGGAGTTCAAGTTGGCCAAGAGCGCTGTGGAGGCCAGGGCTGTGTCTTTTGTTCAAGAAGAATGATGATGATGATGGCTTTCGTAGCTTACGCGGTGATGAAGCGTATGAAGCAACACAAGGAGCAGCGAGTTTCTAACCTGTGAGCTTCTGCGGCTTTGATCTTGGGGGTTTCTTGTAAGTGGGGATTGGTGATAGGTTGCTGTTTGGTTTGTGTACTTTAAGCTCACCCCAGGGTGATGTGCAGTTCGGGTTTAGGGTTTCGAGTACCCCTTGGGATCCTTTGGACATGGGTGCTGAAGCCTTGTTGCACAGGCTTATCGAGACTACTACTTCTCGAAGCGCAAGACGATGAACATGGAGTGGCCAGAAGGACAAGTGCCCAAGTGGTGGTCGGAGCGCCAGCGAAGATATCAGGCTAGCAGAAAGAGGAAAGGATCCTTGGCTTTGCTGGATGAATGGAGACGTGGACCGCTTTTTCTCGTAACATCAACGAGACGGCAGCACCCCGAGTGGAATCGAGGAGGCTAGAGGGTTTTGGGCCTTGGGGTGTCTCAAAGAATAAGGACTTGGCGATCAGAGAGAACCTCCGTTTGGGGAGTCAAGCTCACAAGAATGGGTAATGATGGGCATGATTTCAATTTCAATGCAGGCAAACCACAGGGGCTTACATCAACCTGTTCAACCTAAAGGCCGCCCGCCTCGTTTCTTTTTTACTTTTTCGGGTTTCCTGGTGGACCGACACATATGCCAACTGATCGGCAGTCCCATGGAGTGTTTGGGGTTGGATGCCACGAGCGCCTTTCTTTTCCCAAGGAGCTCACTGAGACGTTGGTAAATTTGCTTGGCTCAATTCCCTTTCTTTGGAGCAGCTTTGGGTCGGAGAAGCATCCTCAGATCTGAGAAAGAAGATCGATGATCGCGCATCCTGTGTTGAAGCCGTCAGCTTGGAAGATCAAAGGCAACCTCTCGCGGTCTTTGAGATCAAGTTCTTGGGTGACACTGCCAGACCGCCAGACCACCAACCTACTCCCTACAACTCTGTGGAAAGAACGCCCCTTGTGGAGCTGGGTCGTCATGCCACAGGTCGTTTGCCCAGCCACCGGAAAACCATGTTTTTTTGCGGGATTGGTTTCACCACTGAAAGCCAACAGGTGGAAAGAGGCTCACCGCTACTGTCCAGGAAAACTGAAGTAGGAGTCGGACTCGGCGATCTTTGCCTCCGGAACATGCTGCGTGAACCTGCGTTTGTGCGCTTCGCACCCAACTTGCAACGAGAAAAAAACAGTTCGCCCTTGCTGTGGAGTAGTTCTTCAGAAGAAGAACATCAACTAGAGAGGTGAATCTCAGCCTAGGGTGAAATGAAGAGGCGAATCTCAGCCTCGCAGCCTCTTGAGTTCAACCCAAGAATGTCGAGGCACTTAACCAATGCCTATTGGAAGCAATATCCACTCACGTAGGGTCAAACCACTCCTTTGGAACTGCTGCAGGATGAGTTCAAGCTGAACGCACTTTTTCTTCGGTACATCCCATGAGACACTGCATTTTATGGGGGCACTGCATTTTAAAGCTGGTCGCTTGCGCCATTGCAAGCCGTCGAAGTCGCAGGTCTTGATGGCTGATGGCCATGCCAACTACACCGTGGTCACAAAGGCAGGAACCACAGAACACCGTGGGGGGGGGGTCCAGCATGGATCTTCACTGGTTTGAAATCCGGGCTGGCAGTAGTAAATCGCATGGAGTAAACTCTTTGGTGCAGGCAGTATGAAATCGCATGGCTGCCTACATGCCCTTCGTTCCTACACACGGTCCAATGAGTTTCAAAGATTCTGTCAGGGTTCTGTGTTCTCCTCAACTGTTTATTCCAACAAGGGTTGGTTTCCCTTGCAAAAAGTCCGCATTGCTGGTGTGCCAGATGCAAATGATTAGAAACTGGAGACTCCTGGTTGAGCATTTTTGTTTAAAGAAACTTGCGATTCTTGCCTAGAATACCAAGTGGTGGTTTAAATGGATGCTCACCCAGAAATGTGTTCCAAGAGTTGTAGCAAATGTTTTTTGGTTTTCCGCACACAATATTTCCATCTTCGACCAGACAGACTGAGCTTTCAAAAGACTAACTAATGACCAAGAGGGAATACAACCAAGCAACTGATAGTTGAAGCAGCACTTTCGGTCGAGTTGTTTTAATTGTTGTATTGATCCCTATCACTACACCACTTTCCAATGTGTCAGACAGGAGCTCCCATGGGGTTCCAGTGCTTTGAGGGCTTTTTCGGAATCCATGTGCGACCTGGAATAAGCCGAAACCAGTGCCGAAACTGACCCCTTTTCTCATTGAGTGACCTAAATTGGAAGTGTCAGACGTGAGACCTCTGAAGCTTCCTCCATGGGAAAACCAGAGGTGTCCGCCTTTACTTGCTTTTGCTGGGCACTGGGTCACTCTTGATGGGTGAATGGAAAAAAAGAACACTGGGGATAACCCACGGCCTTTCCATCCCGAACACCAGAACCCCCGCTCTGTCTCCAGGAGGCCTCCGCCACCGCGGAGCGCCGGAAGATCGACGTGGAGTCTGAGGCGCGGTCAGAGGTCGAAGGTCGAAGATCGCGAGGGAGTCGGCCGCTGAGCTCAGCTTGAGGTCCTGGCCACGTCGTTTTGCTTGGGAAGAGGTTTGGAGCAAAGTGTTTGAGATCATGTTATAACTCCAATAACTCACAGCTGATGCAGGAGATGGTCCAATCCTCCAAGGTGGGTTTCATAGACACTTCCTGCTGAGGACAGTCCTAATGTTTGAGTTTCGCCTTGGTCAAGCAGAGACGACCGAGTCGGGGTCAGTATTGTCAAGAGGAGGGTCGTGTCCTAACGGAAGGGGACTTCAACACACAAGATCCGGGAAAACGTCAGACAAACCCACAGTGGCTTGCTGGGTATTTCTGGGAGGCCTTGACGATTATCAAGAACAGCTTGCATTTGAGCCCTCAAGGCGCGCTTCGAAAATGCACGTTTCGTGGGGCCTTGGACTTGGTCGACTTGGTCGACTTGGAGGTGTTTCTGCGGGGTTATTGGTTTTAATCTTCATCTATTCTGTCCAAGCAATACACTAGTTCCAGGAAACATTGCCATGGGAAGGGGTGACATGGTAGAAGATTCATTGCCAGCCTGTCAGATGCAGTCATTTCAAAAGCTATATAATATGGACTTATGACTCATGACATTATGACTTGCCTTCTGAGCGGACGAAATGACTGTTGTCGTCCATTTGATGCTGGCTTACGCTGGATGTTATCAAACTGTCTCCCATTGGTGTTTGTTCATTCTTCGATATTCTTCATAGTTATAACAGAGTCAAAAGGCTCCAACCCTGAAGGCGAAACAAGCACCCAAGTTAACTGGTGGTTCATATATCTTCTCACCTGATCAACAAGGTGAAACAGTCCCTCACCATCCTGGTCCCAGTCGTCCGCAACCCAGCTTACACATCCGCACGCCACCCTGTGCGCCGTCCAGGCCTGGTGCTCTATCAGCAGTATGGTGCCTTAGATGATTTGGAAGAGGCCTGGAAACCGGAACTGGTCAGATTCGATCTCTTGGGGTTAGGATGGGACTGACAAGACAAGACGTGAGATGCTGAAGTACGAGAGAGACATGAGAGAAGAACATGGGAGAAATGAGAGTCTCTGGCAGATCGAAGCTAGTGAGATTGTTGTCGCTTCTCACAAACTTGGAGGATGCTCATGATGCTCCTTTAGTTGTTCCTCCACTCATTTGGCTCGTTTGCATTTGTTCATACATGGTAGTGGGGCAAGTGCTGGAAGATCTCGATCTCCTTCACACGTGCGTTCTCACACAAGAAAGCACGCCTTGAACCAGAAAGATCAGAAATCATGCGACAAATTGCGCCAATTCTTCAGAACCTCTTTGCAATAATTGCTGCACCATTTCCAACTATACGGAGTACGGAGCCTCATTCAATCAGTCAGACAGAGAGGAGCGGGTGTTGAATCTCATCCATTTCGTTGATCGATCGAACCCTCTTCGGGCAAGATGGCAAAGCTTGGCAAAGCTACTAATGTTGTACACGTAATGTCCAAAGTGCTAGGGATTGGCGCGCCTCACCCCAGTGCTAGGGATTTGCTGCTGCTGCTGCTGCTTTGATTGTCCGTTTTTCTCTTAGTTCATCACTTCTTGTTTGACGTAGAAAGCAGCGATCGTTTGAATGACTCCTCCAAGAAAGAGCCCAGTCAAACCCAGTACCAGGATGCATCTGGTTTCGCTGACCAGCAAGTTGGAGATTCTGCCATTGGATCAGACCTGGCTGTAAGATCACCAGTTTCAGGGGTTTGGGAGATGTGGCGAGCTCCCTTGTTTTGTTGTTTCTTCCACCTTAAACTTAAACCAACACACTGACACCTTGTCACAACCGACAGCTTGGGCCTCAGAGCCGCTTTCGGAGGCCTCCTTGATGTATGGCTTTGGAGCTCAGCAAACCTTGCTGAAACCCAACTGAGATGGCTCAGGGCAGCCACTTTTGGGCAAACGGTCCACCTTTGGTGTTTGGAAGGGAAACAGGCTTACAAGGTGAGACATGTTTCACCAGGTTTCCATCACAGCCATCCTTTGGTAGATGCAATGTTGGAGGTGTAAAAGCAGACTTGGAACATCTTGAGCACTGCCATGATCTGCCATGATCGTCCCATATTTGTTGCAGCAACATCATGCAGAATCATTAATTGCGGATCGAGGTTTTCATCGAAACCGATTCATGAAACTTCATGAAGTCCCTGGTGTTGCTTAAAGCGGTGATTGGTGTACTTTCCCCATTGGTTTACTTTCCCTTCTGGTGAATACGTTTGTATATTTTTCTTGGTTCCTTAAGCAAGTCCCAAAATCCAAGCAGCCAACGGCGCTCATCCTATTTGGCGCAAATGTCGTAATTAGGGGTCTCTATACGACCGGAAGTGAGTCGAGAGACAGTTCGACCAAAGAAGAACGACAGTTCAACCAAGGGAAAGACATGACATGGGTAGATGATCCCTGTTGGTATTTCCTCTAGAACATTGGACGGGTTTGTGGTCCCCTAGAAGTAGGTAGAGAGGAATTCTGTTTGTCTGAACGACACCGACGGTCGAGATGGTGAAGAGTCGAGTCAATCAACTTGTATCGTCGTGCTGGGGGATCTCATGTTGCATCCCAACACCGGCCGCCTTAGCCAGTCCGGTGCCAAAGTGCGCCGACCGGACCGTCGATGTGGGAACCGGTGCGTTGACCGGACCTGCGTGTTCGTCAAAAGTGGGCCTGCGCAATGGCTGGTTGGTGAGGAGATAAGGATAAGGGTCGATAGGCTCATACTCCCCACTTCATGGGAATCAGAGAGCTATAGGATTTTCGTGGATATTATATGATATTATCTATGAATATATAGATACTAATTACCAGTTTGTGAGATTTTGATTGTACTTTCTATATCAAACTCTCCCATCTATAAATGGCCTTTTCTGCTGTCAAGGTAGAATAGGGATCGAACTATATAGTTGTCAATCTGTTGTGATGAGGTTCTGATGCAGTCTCATGATGTCTCATGGACATGTTATGTTGTCACGAACGTTCTGAAAATTGGAATGGTTTGGCCTGATTGTTTGCTGTACTTGTACCTTCTGGCCAGGACAATTCATGTACTGCATTTGCCAACAACATGGGTTACAACATGGAACTTTCAAACAGCTCCTTTCGACAATCTCACAACAAAGTAGTTCAGAACCAATAGTTCAGAAGCAATTCAGACGGAGGCAACAGATATAGATCTGGTAGAGGAAAACTTTACATGAGCACGTTGAGCAGAGTCAGTGTGTCTGTGTTGGTCACATCGATAGCAAGCGAAGACTGATAGTGAGAGAGTGTCTCAATCCAGGTACATGCTTCGGGGAAGGCGGATGTGTTTCCCTCCCGAAAGAATAGGCTCAAGCAATATGTTCAATTTACAGTTTGTTTTGAGAAACCGCGACATTCAGACCAGACAAAAGTCTCAAAGAGAATACCCTTTGACTCACGAACATGGAAGTGGAAACTGACCCCTGGGAAGACAATTTTCCTCTACAGACAGGGTGTTTTCTACTTCTATCTTAGTGAGTCGGAGTATAAGGAATCATTTGGAAAGGCCACCCCAAAGCTAAGCAGCCACTTTGCTGTATGCACTCACCAAACCTACAGCTTGGTTGGTTTTGGTGTCCAAAAACGTGCATATATATATATATCGCATATATATATACTGTATAAATATGAGTGTATATCATTCCTTCTGAAATCATCCTAATACAACCCTGAGGACTTTGGCTCTAGTCTCAACCTTCTTGGATCCCCCCACAACCGCCACTTGGGATTTGAGCTGAGAGTCTAGATGATTATTGAAACGCAACGAGAACCTGTTCATCGGTCCATGCGAGTCTGAGGTCATTTTGAAGAATAGTTGGGACATCGGATCAAAGTTTGTCAAATGAGTGGCCCAAAGGAAGGTGGGACTCCATCGATCATTCCAGAACAGTATATCCAAACATCATTAACACAAGTTCTCTATCTGTTTTCGGTATGAACTGAGGTCCAATCATGATGAACTGCACTGATATACAATTATTTAGACCTATGAGTCTATGAATGTTGCAAAAATGGTGGACCTCAGACAAGTTCCATACAAGTTCCCTATGATTGGGGTATATATAAGGTGATTGAAACTTGTAGTGTGGGGCAATCATCGCGGTCATCACTTCTTTGGTATGTAGCGACCGAAGGGTCACTAGCGGATCACAAGTGTGGAGAGCTTGCCATCACGCACGAGGTCGTTTCTTGACAGAGTCACCCCCATCCTATTGGAACAATGGTTTAACATGTTTGGCACTTGTGTACAAAAAGGCTTTGCTTCTGCTCATTTCTTCATCATCGATCCATGCTGCTCCGTCTAGGGCCTTCAGGGCAGACCAGAGGGCAGGTCGGTTGTTTTTTTGGGGAACACCGGATGGTCTCACCGCATCTCACCTGCGAGGCCTGTTGTCGGAACAGCTGGACGTGCTGACGGCATCGTGGGTCCGAAGACCAGCTGAAACGGGTGAGGGCGGAAGACGTACTGGTTGAAGCAAGGCTCAGGTGTCGTTGGTGTTTTTGATGCAAAAAACAAAGGCCTTGAGAATCTCTGAAGGCCCACAGGTCTTCTGTCTTTTGCTTTCTACCATTTGGACGGACCTTTCAGCTAGCCAGCCTTCCACGCTGGCAACCCGACCTGGTGAAGACTCACTTCTGGAATTCCCAGTGCAGACACTTGGTTGTCCTTATACAGTAGGAAGGAACACTGAGTGACTCCTCAATGAAACTTAAAAAGACATGATCTTTGTAAAGGAACTCAGGAACACTTCTCGTAGTCTTGCAGTGACTGAACTCTGTCTGCAGATGGTGCAGTTTAGTACAACTCCTCGGCATCAACCAGCCCCCCAAAAAGGAAGCGACATAATCCCCGACACGAGGCAACAAACAGGCACAGCTTAATGGAAGTGACGGGTGCCCATGATCCAACACACCCCTTTGTGACCCCCCGTTAAGCAAAGTTACACCGTGAAGATCCGTCAACCAAGATCCGTGAACCTCCTCAGTCTTCCTCGATCGGACACGATGGACGAGAAGAGTTTGCCATGTGTAGCCACACATCCATCAAAACCTGGGGTCCTTCGGTTTGGACATGTTTGGCGTTGCAGGGGTTTGAAGATGTTTGAAGGGTTGATTCATAACAGATATGCTGAATACACCCTGAATACCATCAATCGACAGATATGATCAACATTTCCAGTGCCTAGGTGTGACAATAAAATGCAGTCTTTGTCTAACTCTTTGTTCTGTACTGACAGCTGACAACGGTTCTCACCTGCATTTACAATTGCTGTGAAATCCAAGGACTCCAGTCATTGCTCCCACCCTTCCAGAAGCCTCCCTTCCTTCTCGGCTTCTCAAAGCACATCTGGCTGTTCTCCATATTGGTTTGAATAAATGCTGGCTTTTTCCAAGCCCATGTGGCAGTGGAAAAGCCTCGGGGCAAGGCTGATAGAACAATTGGGAGATATTTTTCCAGGGTATCAATGTATCAAGTCAATATGTATCAATCACTATAGTGACCCCAAAAAACAACTATGTAACAGTAAAAGTCTCAATTGATGTCTACCTGGGGACCGCTACAAATGGTGGTGGGTCTCCGAGTGCCCTCTCTCAGGCCGCAGTGCCCAGGGCAGTGAAGGCGCAGATGTTTGACGTGAAGAGTACGCCCACGTGTTGGCGTTTGGTCTGGCAAACTGCCACGATGATGTCGTAGATGGCAAACTAGCCACGACACTTCTAAATAGACATGAACACTTCTTCCTGCTCTGAAAATCTCACCTGTCCTTCTTTGCGAATGGGCAGCCAAGCTCTCCAGGTCTCAAAAAACGGAAGTTTCCAGCCTGCTTCGGGTTGTTTGTTGTTTTCCCGCCGAATCCCCTTCTGGGGAAGGTTTCTGTCTTTTCGGTTCCTACAGCTAATCCAAGCTAGCCAACGAGTGGGTAAAAAGTAAGAGCCGCCCCGGGAAGAAAGAAGGGCCGCCCCGGTCATTTTCCCGGTGGTTCCGCCAGGAGCAGCAACCAGAGCAGCTCCGAAAGCTCTTCCGGCATGCCGCTCGGAGAAAGCGGAAGCGGATGAGAGGAGAAAACCAACCTTTGGATTTTCCTCGCATCTCGCCCCGAAGGAAAAAACGATTCAACATCGTGGTGTCTTTGTCCGACTATTGACTCAGATTGATTCTGGTGGGGACAGTGGTGGGGACTTGGAAGATGTCTATTTTCAACTAATATTACACTCTGTGACTGTGTAATTAAATACGTCTGGACCTTCACTCCATGGAACTTACATGGAAGTGGAAGATTGCATTTGGGAAGACAATGTTCCTCTACAAACAGGTTTTTTATTTGTTTTCTGAAGTTTTTCTACTTTGATATTACTGGAGTGTTGTTTTTTTTAGATTGTTTAACTATAATCTAGTTACCAGTTACTTGTTGTTTTCTTTGTTGGCGGCAGTGCCTGGCAACTTGATCCATTTTGGAGGAGGTCCGAGGTTTCAATTCATAAATTCCAACTATGCTGTCGAGAGTGCAAGGTTTCAACACCCGCTTTGCTCTAGCCTAGAGGTAGTTAGTCACTAGGGTGGCTCTAGCCTTTCGAACTGCCACTTGATCACAATAGTAGGAGCCATTTAAGTCCGTTAAACTAGATATAATACAAGTCAAGTTCATTGGAACATGTCCGAAGCCAAATTGACGTCGCTTTGTTTTCTCTTTTTTATCATCCATTTGCAGCATCCATCCAAATCTGAGAAGCAACCTAAAGGTTCGTTCATCAGGGCCAAGCCCTCTACCTCTTGCAGTGTCCTACCAGTCGTCCTGGATCCAAGCTAAACCAACCACAAGTTCCTTGCCCATGAAACCACAGGTCCAGCGGACCCAC